TATATGTAAACTATTTAGAAATGTTTGTAGATAACTTTTCTGCAAGGCTGCAAACGAATCAGTATTGCATATCGTAGATATTTTCATTTAGAAATTGCGGGCTAAATTTGATTTTCAGCCAAATTTGGCATTTGCCAAATGTGTTTGGATGAATCCAATGGTTGGGCTTTTTAATTCCAACTAAAGCATCTATGAAAATCATATATTTTGTCCACGGCTTAGTTCGAATTTGGTTTGCTCGAGAGTTCGCTGCATAGCATTAAATTTAGGAGTATTTAGGAGTATCCAGAGCTTCCCTTCAGTAGGGCATATACACATATGTGTCAAGCACTTCTGATCTAAATAATCTTGCAATATTATGACATACATATTATATGTATTTATACATGCTGAATTGTCGTCGATTTAATTGCTAAATGGATTTATATATTTTGGGGTTTGTATTGTTGGGCATGTGGTCTGTACATGATGGTATTTTTTGGCCGGGCTCTAGTTCTAGCTTCGTTTGACAGCTTTATTCCCTTGCGGATTGCGGACTGTGGACTGTGGACTGTTGGCTGTGCTACTTGATCCTCACCTCATTGCCAGATATGGCTCGTCTGGCTGCTAATGGGCCAAGTTAGGCGTATCTTGGCAGCAGTCACGCGCCCAATTGCCATCGCGTATAAACCAAGACAGGGCGCGGCGGCTGGCCGACTTCTGAACTGGCTTTTGAACTTGGACTTGGACTTGGCCTTATTTTTATGTTGGGGGTTTTTCGTATAGAGTTTCATAAATTTAATTGTCACGTACACACACATGCTTCTTTCTCTCTCTTTTGCTCCATCTATCCATCTGTGTGTGTGCGTGTGTGTGTGTGTGTGTGGGGTGTGTATCTATTTGACAGAGGGCCGAGGCGGCTTATAATACGTGTTTATAACTGTGGCCCGCGATTGGGCCATAAACGTGCTGTGTTGCCCGCCGCTTACGTGGCGTATGCGTATTTATTTGGATCAGCATTCTAAATGATTTATTTGCTGCATAATTTCATCTATTTTTATGTGCACTGGCATTTTGCTCCTTGTTGTTTTCGCTGACCATGCGGAATGGTCTAAATTTGTCTTTCATTGCAGGCTTTCGACCCAAAGACTTGAGACATTTACACTAAGAGATGTGCCCTGTTTACAAATTGAATTCCCTTTTAAACACTAAATAGATTCAATTTAATAAAAAAATAACTCAACTAGTTGAAAAGAAAAAAATTACATAAATACTAAGCAAAGAATTACAAAGGCACAAACTGTTTGCTAGGCTTTTATAAAAGACTATCTAAAAAGGTTTTATTTAAATGATCAAGTGTTAGGATTAAAAATTATACTATCCGATATTTTTTGACAATATCTCAGAGTTTAGAAGTTTCACCGTTCCCGCCCAAAGCAAAACAAGCGTGAATTGTTGAAGTTTTAAGCTCGGACTTTGTTAATTGAAATTTTTGTATAATTAGAATTTCATTAAGATCGGACTTTTAGGTCCGATGTCAAAGCCTGGAGCATAGAAGAAGCACGGCCGCAGGGTAGAGTGTGTGAGTGTGTGTGCATGTGTAGAAGGAAACCAGAATGTTTCTGAAGGGGGCTTGGTGGGTGGTCAGGGTTCCCTAGGGTATCTGCTAGTCGGGCAGGCGCGACTTAGTAGTTTGTTGTTGCTGTTGTCGTTTTATGGACAACAGGGTATAAAAGCACTGTTAAAGAGCATTGGCGCACAGCTACATTGTTGTTGTTGCTCAGTTTTTATGAGTGTTGCGTACTTTTTGCTGTTGCATGGGCGTGTCGAAAGGCAAGCTGTGGACTGCGGCTCGGTGTTGGGGTATGGGTAAGCGTCAGGGTATGGGTATGCTAGCCGTGTGGCAAGCAACAAGAGTTTGCTTTATCATTTTTGTTGACAATGCATGCGTACTGCATTTGCTCGAGTGCGTGTGTGCGCGTGTGTGTGGGGAGCGTGTGATTTGCAGTTGTCAGTTGCTCGCTTTTGGCACTGAAGTACAGAACACAAATATGTCAGTCAGTTCTCTAAGCAGAATAGCACTCGCACTTGAATGTGACACGCATCAAATCACTTTATACGAGCGCACTTAACGCCCTGTCCCAATGCCACGCCCCAGTGGCAAGTTGAGGGTTGTACGCTCGAATAGGAATGCAATGAATTAGAGATGCAAGCAATGGAGGGAAAAACATAAAACGAGTGGCTAAAAGCTTACAATGACACCAGCTGAAAAGGACACATAACGATCAATCATGGAAACGGACAAGCGAAGAAGTAGATTTTAAAAAGAAGCAGAAAATAGAGAAACGCTAGACATTTTTTTTGATAGGTATTTCACTGCGAAAGCTTCTCAGTTTGTTTGCGGTGGAGTTTAGAGTATATAGTGTTTAATGAGCTTTAAAATATGTTCTAAATGCGGAGAAACAAGCTTCAAAAGCACATGCATACTTGTTCGGGCTACAAGTTTCTTAAAGAGCTTTCAAAGCACATGACAGCGGAAAGCTAATAAGACAAGCTATCAAAGCACCTTAAAGCTTAAATAGCGATTGCTATTTGTAATATTATGAAAGCGAACAAGTTTCGCTCTTGGGTGCATTTATTCACATTGTTAGCTCATTTGTTGGGTATTTTTGTTATGAAGGTTGCAGGCGTAAAAATCTGATTTTAAGCAACAAAAACATATTGGTGCCATAAAAAGTTTTTAAGCCATTTACATTTTTGTGTGCCTTCATAAATAAAATGAAAATGCTTTTAAAATTGACGCCCAGCAACTAGCGAACGCCACCCATCCAAACATGGGCTGAAACAGGCCACAGTTGCAATTAATCGGATTATTATTATTATTATTTTTATGGATATTTACGTCTTACCCATTTCGTTTGATCTGAGCCCCAAAGCGTTGAATTGTATGCCTGTGTGCGGTGAAAATCTCTGTTTACTTAAGCTACCCATCTATTAATGCTCGGAGGCGTAAAGGCTTATTTCGCATGGAATTGTATAATTGAAACGCATGGCAAACGAGCTGAAAGGCGGCTCAGCTGCGCTTCGAGAGACCAAAAGTTTCGTAATAAGCGAAACAAAAAAAAAAAAATGCATTTAATAAACATTCATCCATATATGAAGGCTATTAAATTGCAGATGTAAATACGAGCACGCATACCCTGTGAAAAATGTGAATGGTATTCCATATGGCTATTCACGTATGTTCGAGCAATTACAGGGTATCTGTGCGTCTCAAGCGCGCCCAGCGCGTTCTTAAGCTGAAACGTTGATTTGTGCGCTTTAACCCTTTTAATTAAATAGGCTGGAAGCAGCCCCCCTCCACACACACACACACACACACACAACGCGCACGTACATTTTTATTATTCTTCGCAAATATGAAAGGAAATAAAGTAATATGAAAACTGAATTGAAAGTTTTTGTCAGCGGAAAAATGGCGGCTTCTATTTCCATCTCGCTCTCTGTAAATGTCTGCTCTGTGGGTGTGTGTGTGTGTGTGTGTGTGTGTTTGTGTGTGTGCTACACGAAATATGTTTGAACAACTTTATTGTGCAAAATGCCAAACATTCTTCAACTTGTGGACTTGCAAGCGCTTTTCTATGTCTGCCCCTTTCTCAAGCAGTGCAAATATGTGTCTGTGTGTGTTTGTGTGTGTTTGTGTGTGTGTGAGTGGGCCAGTATGTGTTTGTGTGTGTATATTGCTAGGCGCGCAAATCTCATTTGAATTATAATGATGGCGCCGGCAGCTTCATACACACACACGCACACACACATCTATATATGCATGGGTATTTTATTACAGCTTTAAAAAAGGTGACTTTTAAATTCCCTTTTCTTTAAAGGTAGCTGATTGATTCTATTGTCTGCACTCGCAATTCTAATTAAGTACTACGGCTATGACGCTCTCTTATCCTAACTTTTTAATAAAACATAATAATGTAAATTGCGGTTACATTGATTTTTGGTTTGAATGTTAGCTTAAATATGCTAATTGTCAATCAACGTTAGAGTATAGAATACATCTATCAGAATATCAGAATATATATATATATAATACATAGATTTCAAAACTTTCTGAATTAATGTTGCTGTCAAGCACATTGTAAGATCTGCTTGTCAGTCAATAGTGTTGAAAAAAGTAGTAGATTATTTGCAGTCAGAGTTGTAAAGCAACTAAAGTTATAAACCTTATTTTGCTTAAACTGTTTACATTCATTTAACTTTCTGCTAAGAGTTAATTTAACTGCTCGTCAATTCTGTTTTCGTTTTCTTCAGATAAGTTAGCTTGCAGAACTTAGTTTATCTAACTGTTAACAAGTTGACAAGAGGTTTGTGTAACAGTGCTGCCACCTGGCAGAATATTGTAAAAGCATAAAAGTAAAATTGACCTTGTGCTGCTTTGCTTGCGCACATTTTTTGACAAGGGAAATGATGAGAATGAAGCGCACTTAAAGCGCCTGTAAGCTAACATGAACTTTGATCTGGCGTTGGCAGGCCTACACGCATTTTTGACAAGTAGCATAGATGTCGCAATGTAACACAATTTAACCGCATGTCAACTAACATAAACTTTGTGAACTGTAACCAAGAGCAACACAAAGACCACAACTCCCGAGCAAATGTGTACAGGGTATGGGTTAAAACAGTATGTGGCGCATATGTGAAGGGCAAGGCAGGGTAGGTGGGAAGCATTGGGGCTATGCAAGGCGGCATCAGGGTGCGGGTGCCAAAGTGATGCCTGCTTTGTTAGCCACATTTGGCCCTGGCTCTTGGCTCTTGGCTCTCGGCGCTGGCTCCGACTCCGGAGCAGTGGTTTTGCCTGCTGCTGTTGTAGATGTTGGGCACCATTTGGTATTTACAAGCGAGCGGAGAAGGAAAGCCAAAAGAACGTTGGCTAGCATGAGGGTGGGGTGGTGGGTTTCGGCGCGTTGCGCGGGGCGTATTGTGATTGAAAATAAAGAAGACAAGTGACTACATACCTGAACAAGCTTGCGGCGGCAGTGGAAATATTAACGTCGTTGAGCTCTTGCGCCTGGCGACCGCACAGCCCAAAGATTGTGGCTTAAAGCTCCGCAGCTGTTGCATAAAATCGGAGCACTCCATTAGGGCCACGTCGGCGAAATGCAGATCGCACAGTATTTGGTTCTGTTGGGGAGAAAGCACAGAAAAGCACAGTCAGTGAAATGGAAAGTACAGGAGAATGAGTGAGAGAGAGAGAGAGGAGTGGACTGTGAGTTAGGGGTTAAAGCTACGTATGTAAAAGTTTTTTTTTTTTTTTGTTTGTTTTTTGTTGCAGCCACATTTCAAACTAAGCAAATGCCAAGGGGCAACCGACAAAAAGGAGTGCAACACGTTCACAAAGTGAAAAAAAAAAAGTGCAAAAAAAAAACGCCAATTGGTTTTATGCAATCTCAGTCCAGTCGTCTCCAGGTCCGTCTAACCAAACTGTCGCTCTGTTTGTACAAAGGCAATTTTAAGCGCCACACTTCAGGTTAGAAGCGTGGAATATATGCATATAGCGCCGTCAAAGGATAAATTTTGTTCAACAGTCGAGTGGCTATAGCCATGTCCGACTTTAGTTCTTAAAGTCGAAACTGAGCAGTCGAAACTGAGCTTGCTTGCTTAACTTTTTTGTTTCTTTGTCCAAAGTAAGCATTCACGAATTCTTCACTACTCCTTACATATAGGCAAAATCTTATTAAATCCCCATAACAAATAGTTCTATATAGAAATATGTTCTGTTTCCTGATTTGCAAGCCCGTGGCTAGCCTGTAAGGTAGCCCTTATTTTAATTATACTTTAAAAGAGTTATCAAGCTGATGTGCTCCTCTTTACTTCACGTAAATCACAAAAGTCGATATTTTCTTCAACAATTTGAATGTCACTGCCTCTGCTTCGCAGTTTTAAGGTAGTCAAGCGAAAAAGCACAAAGTTTCCTCGATTAAGTCGATAATTAAATAAATAATTATAATTTAACTGTGAACAGAGTATTGCGCTGTCGGCTTTAAGTCGCTTTTTTTTTTGGGGCATTGCAACATCATTAACATAATTGACTTTCATAACATTGTGTGTGTAAATATGTGTGTAAATGTGTGTATGTATGAACAAAAAAAAAATACCAAAAAAAAAAAAACAGAATACAAAAACGTGTTTCACATTTCAAGCGTAAAGTGTTTATTTAATGACCTGCACACAAAATGAGTAAATGCATTCTGAATGAGCTCTGAGTGTTCACTGTGCCTTTGTTTGTGTGTGCACGCGTGTGTGTGTGTGTGTGTGTGTGTGTGTGTGTTCACATACCTTGAACCTTCTGGCACGCTTCTGGTTCGGACCAGTCAAATTTAAACCACACGAATTGCAGCGCAGACATTCCTCATGATAATGATTATTATCATAAAGCGGTGAAGGCTCTGCAAATATACAAAAATCAAAATTAAAATATTTGAATAAAATTATATATAATGTTAAAGTTATATATGTTCTGCATGAATTGCTAGAAGTTTTATGCGTTTCAGTTGCCTAAGTTTAGGATATATTCGGATATAGATGGGTTTGTGGTATTAAAACTATTTCCCCTGCCTGCCGAACTTTAGCAGTGTGAATCATCCCAGAAATACCTTTATAAGCGAACTCATTTTCTGACTAAGAAAGTAACTAACCTTCTCTGTTCTTAAAAAAAGAAAGCTCTTGCCAAAGGCTTTATATCTGAGAGACTTGCGGCCATATGGACTGGATAAATATATAAAAACGAACTTTGCTTGCTTTGCATACGTTTCATAATGTGACACTTGCAATTCCCAACAAGTTAAAGCTGCGAAAGTATTTGCAATCCTTGTATCTATAGCAAAGTCTGCTGATACATAGCTGTGCCCAGTTGCTGTTCCTTACAGCCTCTGCTGGAATTGTAAATTTCGTTGCAAAGTTTAATGAAATTACTTCCATTTGTTTCCGGCCCATTAAATGGGCTAGGTTACCAATACTATGCATGTATAGTGTGTATTTGCATTATGTATTGCCAGTTTTTGTGCGACAGTGTAATTGAAGTTGGGATAATGCATCGAATTAAATGCCCACAGAATGCAAATCAATTCAACCAACTGCTGGCGCACACACAAAGCACAGCAAAGTGCACATTGTGGTTGTACCCGGCAGTCAGCCACAGCCAGTCAGCCTGCCAGCCAGATGGGTTGTCAGAGCGATGTGGGTGGTGTCAGCGGTGGGAGCGGTATGTGGCAGCTACAACACGCTCATTAATTTGCATAACGGCCATGCCAATGGATGGGATGGGGGGGCGCGGGGACTAGTGGAACTGGCCCAGCAGCCGTCGACAGTTTGCCGAGCGAGTCAATTACAAGCGGAAATGAGTTTCTAATACAAGCAAATTGATGCCGCACAGACCAATCTACACACACGCACACATACAAACTCACACACACACACATACACACACACACACACACACACTTACACACAGAGACACAGACACAGGCTCAGGCGGCGCCAGGAAAAGCGCAAAAATTTGCCTGTTGAGTTGATGAATGGCTGTTTGATGGGTTTTGCTTTTGGCTAGCTCTGTGCTGGGTGCGGGGTGCTGGATGCGGTGTAAGGCTTGCGGGCTGTGGGGCAAGGGTTTGCTTTAGGGGCGGTAGGCGTGTCAGGCTGTTATCAGTGTCATAGCAATCAAGTAGCTATATATATTAATAAGCAAATACATGCGTGCATGTGTGTGTGTGTGTGATTCACATTTAAAGCTAGACACCGGAAATCATAATTAAATGAATCAGGCAACTGGAAACACATTATGAGCACAACATTCAAATATGCTCACGCGAATGCCGACTGGCACTGGCTAAAGAGTTAGCCAAATGGTCAGCAATTGGTTGACGCTGTGCAAATTGCATCTGTTCGTGAATACATTCGCGTAAAGTAGACACAATTTAAATGCTGTGCCTGGGAAGTTCCAGGCTAGGTCTAAGAACATATATACTAGCGGGTATACTCCAGCCTTGGGCGTGTTACGTTTAAAATAAATTAAGAAAGAGCCACAACTTGTGGAAATCGGATGAGATTTGATTAAGTTATGGGGCTGGGAAATTTTGAACTATGTCTATATAAGATTTGTAAGATTGATCTGGTCAAACCAGGAAGAAAAAGCGAAACATCGTGGAAAAGTGGCTGAGATTTGTCTTTCGAATATATTTGAAGATACTATTTTCACATGAAGGGTATTCACATGTCTGCAACATATGAAATAATATTATTTCTTTTAGATTAAGATGGTTTTTAAATAAAAGCTGTTAACTTTGGCTGTGGCACACTGTGCGTATGCGTTATCTTGTTATGTCTTAAATGTTGATAACTTACTCAAATATGATTGTAGATAAAACTGCTAATGAAATAATATGCCCTTCGGGAATGTTGCAGTTCAATTGGTGCTTTAACTCATGAATTGTTGCCAAAAAAAAAAAAAAAATAACAAAAGAAATAAACTTATGCAATAAATGTCATAAAATGTGCCGTAGCAGAGGGCGAAGGCGTTCAGCAAATTGCACTGTCAAGTGCAAGGCAGTTGCCAGGGAAATGCTTGGCCTGTGTGATTCGAGCGGGTTTGCCAAGCTAAAAGAGCGACACAAATTACAAAATCCAAAACAGAACTGAATATCGTCCGGACCAGACCAGAGCATACCAGGCCAGAACCCAGTACCGAGCAGTGCCTAGAGGAAAGTTCAAATCATTTATGGCATCTGTAGATTATTTTTGTTGTTTCCTTTTTCTTTTTTTTTTTTTTGTTTTTTTTTGTTTTTTTGTTTTTGTTTAACCCCCTTTGTGCATGGCTCGCAGTGATTGCTTTTGACTTTCATTGGATGGCTTTTTGATTGGGGCACATCGGATGAGGGCCCTTATCTTTTATCTATGCACCATGCAATAACAAAAGCCATAGCTGCTCTGCTCAAAGGGGTTCGAGAGTGCAATTGCCGGGCGTTTGCAACAATATGCAGTTTATGGCGAACTAAAAAATCGTTCTCTATTCTTCGTTTCATTCTGCTGTCGCTCATATGTTGCATATGGTAATATACGTTATGTGCAGGGTGGGCAAATGGAGGCAGCAATTCGCTTCAACAGTTTGAAGAGTTCGCTTGCCTATGAGTAGCCCGACGAATATTCGAAACTATGAGATTTGTTATGCGAATGCGCTAATTTAGCATATAAGTATGTTGATATTAATTTGGTATGTCAATCAACAGCTGGAGCATAAAACCATTTGGGCAATTTGAGCGAAGTCAGGTTCTGTAATATGTGGAGCCATGAAATTTGTTAAGCAGATGTGCTGTTGCAAAAGAATTTGAATATTTCCCAGCACAATTCGCATGTCTGTGTGAAAACTCATAAATGCAAATTATACTCACTTTGGTGCAAGCACACATAATCGCATCAGAAGGACTTGAGTTATTCGGGCAGCCCTCTGGCTAGAAACTGAAGAGTTTTATTTATTCATGAAACAAATTTGCTAATTGAAAACCAACAAAATTTTCAAAACTACCCACCCTCGCCCGCCACTCTCTCTATTATAAAGCGAACTTTTCGACTGCGCCATTTGCTTTTATGACAGCTACCGCAAGAAAATGAAAACTTTTGCAGCTGCAATTTGCAGTTGCCGAGCGGCGCGGGCGAACGATGTTTAAATATAAATTCATGACTTTGATAAATTACCAACTAATGACCGAGAAGAATGCCAAACTTCTCGCTTTTAGTGTATAACCGAATGCCAACTTTTTGAGCTCCAAATTAAGCGTGCAACAGTGAAAGTGGCACGCGCGACTTTGAGGTGCTGGTTCGAGTCTGCGACCCCTGCCAACTGCTGTCCATTGGCAATTCCTTTGTTGAACTGACTTTTCAACGGTTTTCGCTTTTGTTTTCGTATACCCTAAGCCTGTTCAAAATGTCGAAGCAAGAATGTTTTGGTTGTAACAGTCGTGAAGTCTTTTGTCTAACTGAACGCGTCGAGCTGGAGACTTGAAATTTCACATAAATAAGCATGGATTTCTTCGTCATTTTTATATGTCGGAAATAGTTTTTTGATCATAGCTCGAGAACTATAAAAGCTAGGTGGTTCTTTTATGGTATACTCCGAATGCTTTTGACGGCATGTAGGGTATCTACAAGTCGGGCACTATCACCCTTGCTTGTTCTTTTATTTGGGCCAGGCCAAAACAATGGCTGCTTAATGGCTCGTGACTGGCAACCAGCGTCAGTTAAAGCGTTCAAGTGCGGTGCTGCCCGAGGGGCTGGGTGAGGGGCAACGTGGCCTGACAATGCCAACAGACTGTGACTGCAATGAATTGCATTTTTGGAGCATACTACGCCCCAACTGCCACTCCGCGCCTTTCGTCCTCTAAGGCAATTTGTTTAGTGCAAAAATTGCAAATAAGAAGCTGCTGCTGCTGATGCTGCTGCTTCTTCTGCAGCCAGAGGGCGCGAGGGCGTGGCCGGTGAATGCTCAAAACTTAATTGAGCGTTAATAATACCAAAACTAGTGAAACTTTAGCGCAGAGTTGCGGAAATTAAAGCGATTTCCAAGTATTCAGCATTCTGTGTATATCTCGTCGAACGCGACAGCTCTTCAGATCCTACAAATAGTTTTTGGAAACGATTTGTTTTCTTGCCATGCACACTTTTCCTGGAAAATATCAATTGGCAAATTGTTGCTGCAACAACAAAACCTAAACTCAGATTCTATTGGCATTATCGAATTTGCCAATTTGCATCGGGCTCTAATGGGGATATGGGCAAATGCCATTTGGCGAACATATGTACATATGTATTTCGTTCGTGCATTTCCTGTGCTTAATTGTTTGTATGTCGGTGTCTATTGCAACAGTTCTCACAATTGAGCATTCATTTCACTTGGATTCAAACTGATTGCAGTGGAGTGGCAATTGGCCGAAGGAGCTGGGCAAAACCTTGTCAGTTGTGCAAGATACAACAGGCTATATATGTTTGCACACACACACGCAAACTACTCGTAACTGTCGAGCTTAAACATCCTATGTTTGACTATTATTTATTTAAACTGACAGCCAAAAAGTATTGAGCATGTAGAGACTTTGACCGGAGAATTCCCAACCAACAGATATCCCGTGTACAGTCGAAAACACATACACTCTTGGCTGTGGCCATGCTGCTTCTTCCCTTCACGCCACAAATTGGAAATTTGATGCCTGAAATGTCTTACAAATGTGTGCACATAGGCGAAATCAAAGCTTTGATTGAGCAAACCGAACTCTAGAAGCCAAAATTTGGATTCTCATCAGTTTGAGATATAGTTACAAATCATCAACACATTCCAATTATGCATTCGCTGAAGATTCGAACTCATAGCCACATGACTAGGAAACAAAACAAAACAAAT